GTGTATGAGCCAGTTCCCAGAGATTCGTTTTTTTTGTTGTTGTTGGGGGGGGGGGGGGGAGGGGGCCTTCCGTTTGAAAGAGTTTCTAGGGATATATAATTTACTAGTCTCCACTGGCTTTCAACATCTACATAGCTAAGCACTTCAGCCTTCAGCATCTTTTAGATTGCCAGGGTAATTGATTACCCTAGTCTATAATGCTATTGCTAAGTAAAACTGACAGGAGGCAGAGAAAAAAAAATTACACTGAAGGACCCTTTTTTATGCCATTGGCACATTGGACATATGATGTTACTCTCATAATTTTATAAACCAATCAGCATGCTGTCTGCTGTCTTCTGTCTGCAGATTGGTCAACATCCTTTCTGTCATCTTTACTTTCCGTAATGTTACCCGGTACCCGTTTTAGGCTGGGTCAACCTGGATCCAAGGCCAATTATTAAGAAAAAAATCATTTTATTGTAGATTTGAACCCAAGATCTTAGGGTCAGCAAATGAGCCTATAGACACTATACTACTCTAGCTTCCTGTGGCTAAAAAAAAAAAAAACTGCATATTTTATGTGTGTAAAGTCAGCCTTGTGGTGTGGAATAAATTCTATTGTTCTTTTTTAAATTTTTTTTAAAAATCTGTTTGCAAACATTTTGACTTATTTTTGTATCTATCTGTTTATAGATGCGTGATAACTGTACATGATCAGGATAGTCATTTAGTTAGTCAAGGTTCCAACATCGCTGCAGATGAGTTGCTCCATAATTGTTCTGTTTCCTGTGCCAGTGGAAATCACAGAAAATGTTTTTCATGGTCCCATTTGAAAACACTTAGTCCCAGCAAAATCTTGAAGCTTGCGTATACAAAGTAAAAATGCATAAGGCGATTGTCAGATGTACCAACACTACTAATGGTTCCACACCAGAATTGCAGCTCACTATTGACGCATACAGTCAGTTATAAACGCCGCCCTTGCCGTTCTGAACGTAATAATTCACCTGCCAGTTTAGCACAGTCAACAACATACCACGGGTGCAACAGCTAAAAACATTCCAGGCATAAAGACAATTTGTTTAAAAACATCATGATCTCTAGGGATCCCGTTAAAAACTATCACTCGTAAACTGAATGAGGCAGCCATGAAACAAACCCTCGACCTCAAACTTTAATAATACTTTAAATGCAAAATTTCAACTGAAAATCATTTCCACAGCAATAATCTCTGCGCTGCGTGTCATATCCAAGTCCACACTTCAGAAGTTGAATGAAGAGTCCTACCTGGTCAGACGATTTGTCTTTGCGGTGGTGGTGATACATGCCAACTTAGTATCCCGCCAGCTCTATGGCAGTGTGGGTCTAATACACTGGCATCCCTTTGGGCCTGCTCAGCTTCTTGATGCTGTTGAGGCTGTGTCTTCGGTTACTCTCTGCTCAGAAGGTCAGCTAGAACCAACGCTTGAAGATCTGTGCTACTACATTCCAAATGTGAGAATACAAGTTATGTTAAAAGTCCATTTACATTTTGAATATTTGTATTGCTTTCTATATCAGGAAATGTACCATATGTTTAATGTCTAGCTAATGTGTCATTTACTGGTACTATCTCTCTCCCTCCCTCTCTTTCTGTCTAAGTTACAGTTGAGTCACATGACTCCACTCTATGTGTGTGTGTGTGTGTGCGCGTGCGTACTGCATTTGTGTGTGTGTGTGTGTGTGTGTTGGGGGGCTGTGGGGGGGGGGGGGGGGGGGGGGGGTTGATGTCTAGGTTTCTTATTATTGTTGTGGTGCTTTTTGATGAAAGCATTGGTTGAAAAGTTCAGTTTTTTTTTTGGTGCTCGACCCTCCCCCCTAAATTGATCTTCCTTGTCATAGTTTAGTAAGTTCAAATCTGACCAAGACCTGATAGATGTCAACATAATGTTGGTAGGACAGTTGCACAGCCTGATATCGACAGGCACATGTTGATAGAATTCCAGTGAGTCAAGAATTGCGAATAGGCTGATTCTGCTCAGTGCACACACTGAGAAAACCTGATGATAATATAATTATGAGGAGGTTTCAGTTGAAAATGTTAAAAATTAGTTAAAAACTATGAAATTCCTATGATCAGAAAATGGGTAACAGAACACAACTCCTCTTTGGCGTGTGTCAAAAGTGGAGTGGTCATATTAAAACTGTCATTTAGACACTGCCACCATGTTCGTCTGTACTGTGTTGCATGCTTAACTTCCCTGACATCTTTAACAACAATATTGACAGTTTACAAGACAATGGCATGGTTATTGTAATTGTTATCACATTTGTTAGGTTTTAATTTGGAGCCCTATCGTAGAAGGGTCAAAAGTGTAAAGACAGACCAAAACAGGGGGACTTGACAGTAAAGGATAAAATGACTTGATGACATGGCATGAGACAGTAAAGGATAAAATGACTTGACATGGCATGAGACAGTAAAGGATACAATGACTTAATGACATGGCATGAGACAGTAAAGGATAAAATGACTTGATGACATGGCATTAGACAGTAAAGGATAAAATGACTTGATGACATGGCATGAAACAGTAAAGGATAAAATGACTTGATGACATGGCATGAAACAGTAAAGGATACAATGACTTGATGACATGACATGAGACAGTAAAGGATAAAATGACTTGATGACATGGCATGAGACAGTAAAGGATAAAATGACTTGATGACATGGCATGAGACAGTAAAGGATACAATGACTTGATGACATGGCATAAGACAGTAAAGGATAAAATGACTTGATAACATGGCATGAGACAGTAAAGGATAAAATGACTTGCTGACATGGCGTGAGACAGTAAATGATAAAATGACTTGATGATAGGGCATGAGACAGTAAAGGATAAAATGACATGACATGAGACAGTAAAGGATAAAATGACATGGCATATGACAGTAAAGGATAAAATGACTTAATGACATGGCATGAAACAGTAAAAGATAAAATGACTTGATGACATATCATGAGACAGTAAAGGATAAAATGACTTGATGACATGGCATGAGACAGTAAAGGATACAATGACTTGATAACATGGCATGAGACAGTAAAGGATAAAATGACTTGATGATAGGGCATGAGATAGTAAAGGATAAAATGACATGGCATGAGACAGTAAAGGATAAAATGACTTGATGACATGGCATGAGACAGTAAAGGATAAAATGACTTGATGACATGGCATGAGACAGTAAAGGATACAATGACTTGATAACATGGCATGAGACAGTAAAGGATAAAATGACTTGATGACATGGCATGAGACAGTAAAGGATACAATGACATGGCATGAGACAGTAAAGGATAAAATGACTTGATGATAGGGCATGAGATAGTAAAGGATAAAATGACTTGATGACATGACATGAGACAGTAAAGGATAAAATGACATGGCATGAGACAGTAAAGGATAAAATGACTTGATGACATGGCATGAGACAGTAAAGGATAAAATGACTTGATGACATGGCATGAGACAGTAAAGGATACAATGACTTGATGACATGGCATGAGACAGTAAAGGATAAAATGACTTGATGACATGGCATGAGACAGTAAAGGATACAATGACTTGATGACATGGCATGAGACAGTAAAGGATACAATGACTTGATGACATGACATGAGACAGTAAAGGATACAATGACTTGATGACATGACATGAGACAGTAAAGGATACAATGACTTGATGACATGGCATGAGACAGTAAAGGATAAAATGACTTGATGACATGGCATGAGACAGTAAAGGATACAATGACTTGATGACATGACATGAGACAGTAAAGGATACAATGACTTGATGACATGACATGAGACAGTAAAGGATACAATGACTTGATGACATGGCATGAGACAGTAAAGGATAAAATGACTTGATGACATGGCATGAGACAGTAAAGGATACAATGACTTGATGACATGGCATGAGACAGTAAAGGATACAATGACTTGATGACATGGCATGAGACAGTAAAGGATACAATGACTTGATGACATGGCATGAGACAGTAAAGGATAAAATGACTTGATGACATGGCATGAGACAGTAAAGGATACAATGACTTGATGACATGGCATGAGACAGTAAAGGATAAAATGACTTGATGACATGGCATGAGACAGTAAAGGATACAATGACTTGATGACATGGCATGAGACAGTAAAGGATACAATGACTTGATGACATGGCATGAGACAGTAAAGGATAAAATGACATGGCATGAGACAGTAAAGGATAAAATGACATGGCATGAGACAGTAAAGGATAAAATAACATGGCATGAGACAGTAAAGGATAAAATAACATGGCATGAGACAGTAAAGGATACAATGACTTGATGAACATGACATGAGACAGTAAAGGATAAAATAACATGGCATGAGACAGTAAAGGATACAATGACTTGATGACATGACATGAGACAGTAAAGGATAAAATGACATGGCATGAGACAGTAAAGGATAAAATGACTTGATGACATGGCATGAGACAGTAAAAGATAAAATGACTTGATGACATATCATGAGACAGTAAAGGATAAAATGACTTGATGACATGGCATGAGACAGTAAAGGATAAAATGACATGGCATGAGACAGTAAAGGATAAAATGACTTGACATGGCATGAGACAGTAAAGGATAAAATGACTTGATGACATGGCATGAGACAGTAAAGGATAAAATGACTTGACATGGCATGAGACAGTAAAGGATAAAATGACTTGACATGGCATGAGACAGTAAAGGATAAAATGACTTGATGACATGGCACGAGACAGTAATGGATAAAATGACTTGACATGGCATGAGACAGTAAAGGATAAAATGACTTGACATGAATTGGTTGCATGTGTCACATTCTGAGACAGGGGTCAGGAAAAGAAGAAGACATGTTGTGTGAGTTCATGTGTACACAAAAACTGTTTAAAATTCAGTTTTCTTTTCAGTTCCATTTTTTTTTTATTCATCAGACTATCTATGGTGCCATGGTATCTGAGGATTCTGATAAAGCTTACATCAGTGTTTTGTGCTCACACGTTTTCAAGTCCATCTACAGAGAAAATCAGCCGCATATTGTGATAGGAGATATTCTTATTCCCATTCCACCAGACACCTTAGGTATGCAGTAGTTACATTTTTTTTAAAGCTATTGACAGAAACAAAAGACAAGCATGGTTAAATGTGCTAAAATTGCAACACTTATTCTATTAATTTTTATCTGAGTTTACTATGTTTCAACTCTTTGAGTCCAAGGGGGTTAAGCATCAGAGGCCCAAGGGGTGGTAATGTAATTTTGAAAAGTCAGAAGTGTAACCATACTAATTCAACTGCTGACTGACTGACTGACCTTCTACCCCACTAGGACATCACACAAGCGATAAACACCCGATGACACAATGTGCCACCATGTGGGTGAGAATCACCGTAGAGAGGTCTCAGAAACCGCATTCAGCCTTTAGGCCATATTTATGGCCAGGCTATATTGCAGCCCCTGGCAAGAGCCAGAGTAGGGCTTCAAATAACGAAAAATTATATCCTGAAAAGGACGGGAAAAATTTGCTAGTTATTCATTTCACCTGCTGCGCAACATGCACCTATTATAAATTAAAGTGACCTGGGATTGTTGAGGAATAATATTAGAATACTGCTACAAAAATAAATTGTGTTAGTAGTTAATTATTAATAAATAAACAGATGGTATGTTTAGAGAAGTTAGTGAAAGGAAATAATAGTTTTTTCCACTTACCACTGTGACACTCAAGGAAAACTAAATAAAATGTATCCAAAATAAACCATACATGAACACGAACCACTTAGTAATGTATAAATACACTATAAACATGGTCTGTCCATTAGATCTTGTTAAAGAAAAACTTGTAAAACATCATTTTAAAAAAAGAAGGTCGTTTTTCCACCTCAGGAAGAGGAATGATCAGATCAGGTTTGCATCCTGGAGAACATTAGGCGAGGAGAGGAGTGGGTCAGAGAACAGTAAGACTTTTGTAGTGGCATAATCACATTGAGCCGTGGAGTGCAGAGAGTGGTCAGTGGGTGCCATAAAAGTGGAAATTCAGCAGTTAATTCAGCTCGCTCAGGTGATGTGATTATTTATACAGATGGTTCAGCATCAAGAGGCAAAAGAAATGCCTGGTTTTTTTTTAGCATAAGCTAATAGTTGACGTTTGGTGCAGGAGAACCTAGCATATGATACCACAAAATTTAGCTTGAGAATGGAGTTGGAGGCGGTCACTGCAGCTTTCCACTGGCTAGAGAACATGACATACACACACATTGTGATTGTAGCTGACTCAGAGAGCATGTTGAGGAAGGTGAGGATAGTCATGCTTCGTGCAGAGTGGCATGCTTTGCTTTGGAAGTCAAGTGTGAGGAGCATTGTCTGGATCTTTTCTGCAAGTATGTCTGTGTGTTGGGAAATGAACAGGCAGACAGATTGGCTGGCTATGTACAACTTAGTGAAATACTGATACATGATAAGGCAGATGTGGTTATAGTTTTATGGGAGCATATGTACAATTTGGAAAAAAGATTGATCATTACAGTCTTGCGAGAGTGATGCAGCAAGGAGTGACGAGGTGATCAGGCCAATATTCAACACTCAGAGGAAAGGCAAATTCAGACTGCTACTGTCACCGTTGGTATGGGAACTCTGCGTTGGCTGCTGAAGATGGGGATGGAGTGCTTATGAGAGTGCCTTTTGTGCTGTCATGTCTGTTCTTAAATCAACTCAACTCAACTCATTTTAATATGCATTTAAATTTTTTGTTTACTTCAATATAGTTTCACACATAATTTTTCGTCATAATTTTAATGTAATTAATCTATCAGTAATCATTTTTTTTTTAAATATTTAAGCCACCAAAGACTATGTAGACTGGTTTCAGCAGGTGGCCGAAAGTAAAGGAAGACTCAATGGTTTACATGTGAACACAGCTGTTGAGAAGTATGCTAACAACTGCAGGTGATATGACTTTCCTTAACCCACAGCTGTACATTATTGTTTGTCTAATTTACCTCAGTCAGTCAGTGGCATGTCCTTTGCAGAACCTTGCTCCCACAACAACTCTCCAGAAAACTTATCGATCATAAGCAAGATGTCCCGCATCCGATAGACCCACCTGGAGATCATCTGCCACATTCTGCACCCATCTTCTCTTTGGCCTTTCTCTTCTTTTCTTCCCAGGCATATACTCCTCCATTATTGTTCTCTCAAAACCTTTGTGATGTTTCAAGTGACCAAAATATTTCAATTTTCTGTGTTTTTTCGTCTTTACTAGCCAACCTTCTTCAGTATTCATTTCTTTTCTTTACCCATGATATTCTTAGAACCCGATATAACATTCATATTCAAAGGAAATAATGCGCTGTTCAGCTTGTTTAGTAAATGTCAAGGTCTCAAAGGCGTATGTTTACCTACAGTTTATTTACCTACAGTTTTGTAATTCTTTTTTCTTTTTTTCCTTGTTATTATTAAATTTTAATGTCAGTTTAGAATATGAAGTAGGATGTTTTGAGCGCATTGACGTCTCTGTTAAGTTTATCTTTAACTGAATGAAGTACTGAGCCAGGCTTGGAGAGTTCTGTTTAGATCTCACTGCTGTAAAATTTTTCACTGTTCATTTTTGAGGTCATCTTCATCGCACAATCAGACATGACCAAAAGTGCTCCCACTCCTGCCCAGCATGTCTCCAAGTGTTTATAGGCTAACAACTCCCATTCTGTTCTGGTTGATGTAACGACAGGTGGCTCCCGCATGGTTTTCCTGTCTTGCACCCCAGTTGGTATACCCAGGGTATGCTGTAAAATATACTGTAAGTAAAGTAAAAAATAAAGGTCCCTTTTCCACGCCTTTCGGCGTACAGGGCATGTAGGGCTAGACCTATATTTTTATAGACCAATCGGCACAAGATGGGTGATGTGGTCATCATCACACCGGCCGCCTTCACTTCCAGAGACTGCACCCGGTACCCACTCAAGGCTGGGTTGACCTGGGAGTCAAGGTTATTTTTGAGAAAAGTATGGCTCTGCCAGGGAGCAAACCCACGACCTTCTGATCAGCACATGAGCATCTAGCTGCTACGCCACGGCGACTACCAAAAAATGCTGTATTAGATTTTTTTGTCTGTTAGCCGATTCTTGCTCGCAATATATATTCCTTATTCTTCTCTTTTTCTTCTTTTACCTTTGCCCTTAACTCTTTCAATACCACACAAAAAAATGTTCTGAGTATGACTGCATTTACTACTACTCATGGTAATGGCATCTGTCAGTCCCGGGGGACTATGGAGATGTGCCGCTGGCTTTGGGAACAGCATCTGCTGTGACTGTAAAGTCCGATGCGGGAATGGCAGTCTTTGCCACACAGGATACACACAAAAGCAGATACTCCCTCGTTGTGAGGCAGTTTCACTCTCCGGTGCATCGACTACTCATATGTAACAATCAAAATATTATTATGCGTGCATGTATAATGTTTAAGATTAAGGTTGGTTGCCTATCTTTTACAGGACGTTGCAGAACCAACCCTAGCAGCCCCTGACTGTTGTGTGGTTTCTCTAGGCAAATTTACGTCCAGTAGTTTGCCATTGCTTTCTAGACAGTCGGCTTCCTGATACCACTGTCGAGACCAACGCAAGGCGCATGGCCCGCAACTGGGATCAAACCCAGCACCCTGGCATTACAAAGCGTTCGCATCGACTTAGCCACAGAGCCGACAATGTTTAGATTGGACATAGTAAAACACCCAACAACACACACGACCCCTACAAGTGCTGTGTATTTAGCTCATACGGATGTAGTATACCCATGAGTTTGTTGCTGTCAAGATTGCCTCATTTAAGCATCGGCTATGATCGTGTGGTGCTGAAAGTGTTAAAAGGGCAGTTGGTATGCTGTGTTGTGGTTTACAGCTAGGCTGTGATATATTCGCCTTTTGGCCCAATACATCCGATTTCAGGAAATTCCTAGTTAGTTACCCATTATTACATCCTTGATAGCGGACAGTGGGTCCTTCCCCCTCCGTCACCCATTGGACTCGGAATCTACTCATTGAATAAATTCCTTATTACCCTGCGAACTTTCCCATCTATAATGAATTCATGCAAAATATCAAAAATAACTTGATGTTTTACTTTGTCAGGTGCTTTTTAACCCTACCAGACCTGAGGCCCTGAACCTAACTGTCCCTATAACCTGAGCTCCTGGGCACTGACACGCAAAAATCCAACATGATGTACGAAAAAATTAGTTACATGCAAACAAGTGGTTAGAATAAGATAAAACTTGGAGACATTGTAGAAAATAAGTTTACCTTTCATCTAGCGCCAATCTTCCCCCTTTGTGTGCCAATCCACCTTTCTCTTACTGACTATCGATCTAGTTTTAAATTTATAATTTTCATAATTCTTCTCCTCACTCTAGCTCTAACTGACTGTGTCACTTCAACTGGGAACGTATTCTTTATAAACGTGTTCACAATCTGAATTAACCAAAGTATCGATCACCTGTTGGACTGATGAGCCTAGACCTACGTCACTTTCTTGTCGAAGCCGCTGGTTTCATTGAGAATATTTTCCGAATTTTTTTTCACATCAAACCACACAAAGAAATCTCAACACACGTCGGAAGTCATTTGCAATGACTAACAACGAAGTCTGATGGCGATTGACTGGTTATTTTTAGTCTGTGACGCATATTTGTAACGTACTACGTAAATTCCCGGAAAAGTGGGCCAGCGGTTTAGCGGCTGTTTAGGAAATTCCTGGAAAATTGGGCCAGCGGTCTGGTAGGGTTAATAGACAATTTAGCACCCCCAAAAAAAACACAACACGAAGAACCTACGACACAGCATCGGCAAGCCAGTTACCGTAAACAATTTTGAGATCATGCATCTTTCCCATTCCAACTTGTGCACTCTTACTCAATCATTTAAAAAAAAAATCGGAGCTTTTTAATTGAAATAATACAGAAAAATTCTTAGAGTATCATGGACCAAGGAGAAAAAAAAGCACAGACATCCTGCATGATCTGAACATTGAGGAAAACTGGCTCATAAACAGAATACTGTCCAAAAAAGTGGAGGTATTTTGGCCATGTTAAAATCTGTGATGGCCTGGAGAGAACAGTGATGGAGGGGACAGTTTCTGAAAAATTAGGCAGAGGCAGACCTTTGCGACAGTGGTTACAAGACACTGAAGATGCATTAGCTATGAAAGTACATATAACTGGAGAATTGGCAACAGAAAGAGAGACTTTCAGGTGTGGCTGTGTTGGGGGCGATGTTCTGTAACGCACCTGCTGATTGGTGATAACGATAAAGCCAAAATATAATTCCTTTTTCATCTGACCACATCTCCCCATAAGCGTTGATAAACAAAATTTATGTTCTGGAATCCAGCAAATTTAAAAAAAATAAGTATAAACTCCTGGGGTAGGAGATTGTCCTACTACTAGGCGCGTCCACCAGGTGGCGGATGGTAGAAAGGCCTTTGCGATGAACAATGTGGATTTGTAGAAGGAAAAGGTACAAACAATGCCATATACATCCTAAGGGCATTGTCAGAAAGAGCTATAGAAGTAAAGACTGATTTGTACATATGCTTCATAGACTATACAAAAGCATTTGACTGTGTGAAGCATGAAGAAGTAATCAAACTGTTAGAAAAATTAAACATTGATGGGAAAGATCTACGAATAATAAAGAATATGTATTGGCAGCAAACAGCTGCTATAAGAATTAACAACTGTTTAGGTACATTTCAAAGCCTAAAGAGGGGCGTACGACAAGGATGTGTACTGTCACCTGATTTGTTTTCAATATACAGTGAATATATAATGAGAGCTTTAATTGGTATGCCCGGAATTGTGGTTGGTGGTCACAATATAAACAATTTACGTTATGCTGATGACACAGTCTTGATAGCAACAAGTCAGAAAGAACTACAGGAAATGATAGACATTGTGGTGTTAGAAAGTAGAAGAATGAGCCTCAGTTTGAATAATGGGAAGACAGAAGTAATGGTGGTATCAAAGAAACGAATTATTCCTAAATGTGTAATAAAAGTTGATGGTGTTATTTTAGGACAAGTACAGAAATTTAAGTATCTGGGCACATGGATAACATCAGATGGAAGATGCATAACTGAGATAAGAAATAGAATAGGACAGACAAAAACTGAATTTTATAAAATGAAAAACATCTTGTGCAATATATCCTTGTCATTGAGAGTTAGAAAAAGAATTCTTGCTTGCTACATACATCCAGTTTTAACATATGGCTGTGAATCCTGGACAATCGATAGGCAGGCCAAACAATTTCTGGAGGCCTCGGAGATGTGGTTTTACAGAAGAATGCTTAGAATACCTTGGACAGCCAAAAAGAGCAACCAAGAGGTTTTGAAAGAGGCGGGAGCCCGAAGACAACTTATCACAGACATCAGAAGGAGACAGTCATCATTTTTCGGCCATGTTATGAGAAGAGGGAAAATAGAACATGTTGTGACCACTGGAAAGATATGTGGAAGGAGAGATAGAGGAAGACAACGAGAGAAGATGCTTGACAGTCTTGTTGCATTGCATGGAGGTGTGTCAGCACATGAACTGATACATGCTGCAGGAGATCGCAGATTATGGAGAGGCATGATCGCCCACGCCAGTCGGCAAGGCACCTGATGATGATGAAGTATAAATACTGATCAGAATAAAATATACATAATTCTGAAATCATCATGTTCACGAATTGCATGTGTGACTGCAGTTTATTCCCTCCAAAAACTGGTAAGAAGTTTCTGAACACGTCACTTGTCTACTCAGACTGATGATCTGTTCAAAAGTTCTCTGTTTTCTATAGAAAAAATAATATGATAGTTTGCTTGTCTTCTTATGGGATCAAAATGATAAGTAAAATTTGATGCAAGAAGGATTAGTCTGTTTTTAATGTTTACCTTATTTCAATATGCCATTCAAAGGCATTAGTTAAAAGGTAAAATTAAAATGTTGGTGAAACAAAACATATATTACTGGAATACATATCAGAAAAATGTAGTTATAGCAGAATAGAGAGTTTCACATAGATCTATAATTTTGCATTTTTTGAATGAATTATAGACAAAATCATATTTTCTACATCTTTTAATTATCGTCAGTACAATAAAAAAAAATTTTTGTTTGTTTACTTTCTATCACAGATGTGCCAGATTTTTAGCCGGTGCCAATCAAATGCTTGAGGCTTTAAACTCACAAGTTGATAATGTGTCAAGTGTTACAACACAAACTGGCATCAGTATTGCTCAGTTACGATCAGCCCTTGACATCTGTCTGGAGCAGCTACCTCCCCTGCTAGATTTAGGTGATGTTTCTCAACTTATGGAGGTACGATGTGACCTGTCAGATAATCCCAGCAATAATAACAGGAGAAGTGACGAGGGTAGCCTTGAGTCTAGGAAAATTGGATGTGTGTTATTTCAGGTAAGAAAGCAGAACATGTGATATGTGTCTGTCAGATGCCTTCCAGCGTGTATTGTTGGTTTTTAGTTGTTATCTTTCCTTAAGCTTTCTTAATACCATGCAGTCTTTTACTTTCTATTGTGGACTACAATGTCACTTTAAGTAAAAACTCAAACTAGTTACAAAGTATGAGGGGGCTTCAAATAAGAATTTCAAATAAAATCCTAGTTTGTGCAGTCTGTGGTGACAGCACTAGCCATACGGCCCTAAATCCTCAGGCTCCTACCCCCCCCCCCCCTTTCCTTTTCAATTCACCACAAAAGTGGTAAATACGGGCAGTAATGTTAGTTTTAATGTACAATCAATATAAGGCACAACGAATGAAACAAAAATCACATAAGCAGTTATCAGTAAACACGTGCTAAGTTGCTTGTGAACTCTTTTGTCCCAAGCAGGCACTGTATGTTGCTAGACATTGCTTATGTGTACCAAACAGTGTTTTATATCTTGCACAGAGCCAGCTTCTCTGACAACATCAGAAAGAGACAATCTGCTTTCTTTGGTTATAAGATGGGGAACAATTGAGACACTGTGACAGCAAGTTGGAGGGAAAAAGAGGTGGGAGAGACGAAGAGAGAAGATACTGTACAACTGGCATGAAAGATCATTAATGTCCAAAATTGGTGGCGCGATGATTTCTGTCACAGGCATGAGGTAAAGTTAAGTCCAATGTTTGTGTATAAGGAGTTACTCCATACGTCACTCGGGCACCAGTCCTGCACTGTTCTGGTTTTATGGAACCTCACGCATGACTTCTGCAGCACGTCCTCTTTGTGCGCTATGGATAATGTCTTAAATGAGCATTAACAGAGCTGTTAGGATATCTCGGAGTTGGCGGCTCCAAGAGTTGTAGTGTCCTTGTGGCTCTCATCAGCCCGCCCCCAAAGGCATGGGTAAAAAAGCTTTTCAAAACTTATTAGGAACATGAGTAAAGTGCTTGCTAAATGTACAACTAAAATGACAACCTTCGGTTAAAAGTTTGTGGGGTGAAGAGAACATTGTGTTGTTGAGACTCAACCCTTGACCTAGAGATTTACCCATAGCACAGACAAGTAACATCGCCTGTGGGTGGCGTCTCGCAGCAAGATTCTACCCATGTACATCCTCTGTCAACCCTCAGTGTCCTCGCCACTGTGCTGAGGTACACCAAGATAGCAAGCATCGATCGGCTGGTTAAGCCCTAATGTCCGACAAAAATAGATCCTACGGCATACAAGCATGCTCAAAATCTGACTATCATAAATCGTATTGATTGGGGAAAAGTCCAAATGTCCACATCCCGAGACCCCACTCGCCCAAGTGTTGGGACCAAACAGGTAAAGACATGCCTGACGCAGGATTCTCCATTCTGTCGTACCCTAAAGATGACAATCAAGCGATGAAAAAGATTGTACCTATTTGTGTGGTCACAAAAGTCCAGAACCCACTGGCTGCTCCCCGCTGATCTCTGGTGGGTGCAACCCGTGTTGAGCGGGAAGCCTAATACGGTTGTGAGGTTAAGCAGTACGTGACGATTCCTTGGGTGAGCCCAGAACGAGAGCGTTATGTGTCGGCTCTGCAATTTTGGAAGCCTCCTTGGATGGCGGGGAATGCTCATGATCTGTCCCTGCCTTCCCTTGAGGGCTAACTTTCCACACAGGGCTGCCCCAAAGGGGGTACTCCAGGGGCAACACCTGTGGAGAAAGGGACAAAGAGGACACCACACAAATAAGGTGACATCTCGACCCACACAAAACAATTGCCACAGTCATCCTAGAAATAGGCCTGACGTCTTCCTTCGAAGTCGGGAGTACATCTGCCCGTGAGGCAGGGAATGGCAAAAGCCAGTAAAACGGTTGTACACGCAAAACTCAGGTCCAGGTAAAAGCCAAAAGTTCAAACGGACGATTAACCGGGACCTTTCGCCAGAATTCATAGCCGGTGAACGAAGAAGATTAAACGTACATAAGGCAGACTACAAAAATAGAGAGAATTAAACGAAATGATGGAATCACTAATGTTGAGCTTTGGGCCAGAATTAAACAAGTTCCAGTGGACCAAGAGGTGAGGAAAAGATGCTGGGGTTGGATAGGAAACTTTTTGAGAAAACCTGAGAATGATATAATTAGAAGGGCTTTAAACTGGAACTCACGAGAGTATAGAAACAAAGGTAGACCAAAAAATATGTGAAGAAGGCAATTAAAAAGTAAAATTTAAAAGATGGGAAGACATAGAGTGAGCTGCAGACAATAGCAAAAGATAGGATGACATGGCGGGAGTTGATTGAGGACCTAAACTCCTTTTGGGGAAATAAAAGGCAGAAAAAGACATGAAACAGAAGACTTTGAAAAAACAAGACCACTAATACCATATAGCATTGACTATAAGCAAATGTTTTTATTTGGTTCCTGTGGAACTAGGGCAACTATGAATTTGTTGTGGTCATTATTGCCTCCCTTTTGCATCACCTATGATCTTCTGTGACTAAAAGATCAAATTAGTATGTGGAGTACTTCAAAAATATATAGTGCTATTACTAACTAATGATTGTGTTACTAATGCATTTTCCAGGAATGCCTGTGGATGAATGAAATCCTCTGCAACATCAGGCGGGACATCCACGACCTTCAGATGAATTTAGTTGGTGGTCCTGGAGCTCTACCACAGAGACTGTTTTCAACAGCATGTAGTCTTCAAGAGGAGCAAATACCAGTCACCTGGGTTCACCCCAACTGCCAGCCTTGTACTCACTCCCTATTGTCCTGGTTGGAAGGTTGGTGGGATACCATAACAACTGTATGGGTCAAAAGAAGTTAATGTAACATTTGAAGCAGAGTTAGTAAAACCTTTCTTTAGATTTCACAGAAGAGGTACTAAAGGGGAGATAATTATTATGAAAAATGAGTGCAGTGCTTTCAAAGAGGCTTAACTCTTTCAAGCAGTTGTTAGATTCACTTATTTTATTCTCATAATTTGTTGCTACAAGTAATCAATGAGTGGGTCTAATGAGTTAAAATAATAGAATTATGGGACAGGAGGAGGTGAAGTAAGAATTTTAGAGCATGTTAAAGTAACAACTTTGTCAGTCACAATAGGTTAAGAAAAGTATATCATGCCATTGAAATCAAACGCATGGTACGTTGCTTTATACTGAATAAATTATTACATACACCTTGTATAAAAACTTCTTCATAAGTTGCCACTCAAAAGATGTCTTTAGTATGTCAAGGTAAAATTTAAGACAACATATAGTAAAGTTTTTTAATCATGTGTTATCAGGGCACATAATGGAAATAATCATAAAAATTGTAACCTACAGCATATGTCAATATGTCAAAATTGGCAACCAAAGTGTGTACATTTTTAGATGGCAGTTATTACTTTTGTATTTTCAAAATGGAATTAAAGATTTAATTGTTTAAAAGCATATGCTCAAGATAAGAAAAGAAGAAAATAAGAATCAGATCAGAGTAGTGACACTCAGGGAACACCCTCAAGCACAACACTCAAAATGGCCATATTAAACATCTGTTGTTTAGTGCCCAAAAAAAAGAGTAGAAATTATGAATTTCATGAAGAAATGGAATATAAAGATTGGGGGTCTATCAAATTGTGGAAAGAGAGAATAAAATAAAGAATAATATGAAATGTCGCAGGAAAAACAAGAAGAGACAGAGTCATCAACGAAGAACCAAAAACAATGGTAGTCAGAGTACTGGTAAATAGTTTAATAAAACATCAAAAAATCAAATGGTTTGGTCATCTTGTCAGAATGGAACAAAATTTGCTAGCAGCCAGAGCTTACTACCTGAGAACAGCCAGCTGCAAGTCAAGAGAGTGACCAAGAAAGAGATGGGTGAAGGAAATAAACACAAGCTAAGCTAATAGCAAAAGACAGGAAACTACATCTAACTCCTCTCTGCAATGCTTAATGGTATAAGCAGTGGAATAAATGAAGAAGAAGAAAGTATCTGGTTATAACTAACATGCCTCCCACAGAAAATTTGGATGCTAAATCCATCAAATCGCAGACAAGTCTACAAAGACCTTGGTATGAGGTGGTTCAGAGTCAGTGTTCTCTTGCAGAAATAATTACAATATATCTTTAATTATTTAAAAAATTGCTCATGAATTCAAGCTCAGCAACATGCAGACATCCCAGGAACCCCTAAAAGTACTTATATGTTGTTGAGTATATTTGCATTTCATAAAGTTTTTTTAACGTTGCTTGAATGGGTTATGTTCATTTTTTTTTCATTCTGTGTAAATGTGAGTGTCTTTTAAAACTGATTTTCAGTTCTATTAGCATATACATTTTGGATTCTTGTGTTAAAACTTGTATATGAATGAACAAATATTGTTCACTCAAAGGAAATATCATTCATCATCCTTTTGTGCTGCTATACATCATAAAAGGTTCATATTTTATTCTTGCAATCCATTCTGTCCTGAGCAATTGTTTTGGTCTCATAAAGGAAATCCAATCCACCACTTTTAACCTCTCTCACCAAGGTTTATCTTAAGATTTCATTTGGACACCCTCACCTCCTCAACACATTTGTTTCCCATTTAAAACAAAGGTATACCAACATATTTTTGTATAGAAAAAAGCCCTGGTTTTATATAAATTTGAGTAGCCATAATTTAAGGTAGCTCTCTTTCTTTCTACAGATTTGAAGAAAAGACATGAACAGTTCACTACATGGGTGCAGTGCGGACTTGTACCAAAAGTTGTTGAGGGTCAACTCAGAGACTTTATGCTGACTTCTAGTCTCTCAAGTGTGTGGCTTGGTGGTCTGGTCTGTCCTCAAGCTGTTCTCACTGCCATAAGACAAGAGAAGGCCACTCTGGCAGGCGTGAGCCTGTGTGATGTATGTTTCCTTTAACCACATGTCATGCATTATTTAAATAAACAATAATTAATAATAATTTTTGTTTTTTTATAATATAAATTTGTTTGGCTGTATAATAACTCTGATACAGTTCTCATATAAACTATTTGCCTTATAAATTTCATAGATAACTCTTCTCTTTAACCATTTAGTTTTTAGTTCATATTTTACAATAATGTTTATACTAGAGACAACATTGCAGATATAGATAATCTATTTCGAGCGAGCAAAAGAAGAAGGAGAATTTCATATTATAAGTAGTTTTTTTTTCGTTTTTTTTTTTTAAGCATCAAAAAAAATTTTAATCTTACATTTGTGCATAAATGTTTTCATAAAACTTGTTTCTTTTTCTGTGAATATCCTATAGACCCTTAACAGATAAACATCCATGACTTGTTGAACTCTGCATCTAAATTTTTCTAGATGCTAGGGTTAGCGATGTAGAAATCAATCTCATGCCAACCCTCTATAATTGCTCCTCACAATATGCATGGTAGGTTTGGTGCTACTATTCTTTGCTTCCCTTATGGCAACAGAAACATACCAGTGTTAGATTGTTATATTATGAAGTAATAAATAAGTGCCGAATATCCCATGAAGCAGTCTTTAAAACTCTGTCCCTATCTATTGTGAGTTATTTTCATTTTAATTATTTCAGTAAAATCTTTTCTTTCTTAGTACTCAATTCTCTTTAAATTTTCCCTAATGACCTTCTTTCTTTCTTTTCTAGTACCTAATTTCTCTTTAAATTTGCTCCAAATCAGTAATATCCAGACCCTGATAATCAGTATATACAGTAGATCATTCTCATTCCAAATCTCACTCATCTTTTTTTACCTATAATCTGCCTTTAATTTTTTGATGATCAAACAACACTCAGTGGATGATTTCCCGGTACATATTTTAGGTCAGTGTATATGGCTTGTCGGCTCTGTGGCTAAGTCGATGCGAACGCTTCATAATGCTGGGGTGACGGGTTGGATCCCAGCTGCGGGCTATACGCCTTGTGTTGGTTTCGACAGTGGTATCAGGGAGCCGACCGTTCAGAGGCAATGGCAAACTACTGGACGTAAATTTGCCTAGAGAAACCACACAATAGCCAGGGGCTGCTGGGGTTGGTTCTGCAACGTCCTTTAAAGAATACGCAACTAACCATTGGTATATGGCTTAGGCTTTGCATATGAGGTTTGTAAGATACTAGGTTCAATCCCAGCTGTGGGGGATTTTATAGCTGACCACCTCAGGACATTTCTGACAATGGTTTTGAGAGCTGGGCACTGAAAGCAGTGGCAAGCTACTGAACGTAAAATTGCCTAGTAAAATCCCGAACAGCTGAAAGATTATTTTGTTGGTTCTGAAACCTAATGTAAAGGATAGGTGGCCAACTTTTTGATCCATTTTAGGCTGTGTTGATCTGGGAGTCAAGATCAGTTTTCTAAACATTCAGACCCCAAGTGAAATTTTAACATGCTGGTCACTGTGCTACTATGACGGCTCACTTTAACTCATTCATGAATAGGGAACTCACCATACATTCATTGGTTGTTCTGTATAAGGTACAGATTTCTTTATGCATTCTGAGCTATTCTTCTAATATGTTAATCCTATCTATCTCACTTGTAACTACAACTTATTCTGTCCCCGAATTTTTTTTTAAATTCAAAAAGACTAGAAATATTGTGCTCAAAGGTAAAAAAAAAACTTAAGGATAAATTGTGTTGAATTAAGAACTCATCATCATCATCATGTGCCATGCCTGTAAGAGTAGGCTGTCATCTTTTGCCATCTCACACAGTCACCGGAATTGCAGATCAGTTCAATGTTTCGTCCTGCCCCATCCATTTGGCCAAACCATATTTATCTCTTTGCCATCATCTTGCTGTCTTTCTATCTCTCTTAACTGTTGTTACCAAGTTCTTGAGTCCATTCTTTCTCATAATATATCCGAAAAATGTTGACTGTCTACATCCACTTGTTCTAATAAGTTTACTACTTCTGTCTGTCTCAGTGACAAATATGTTAATGTTAGCTGTGTATCTTTTGCAGGGCGTTGCAGAACCAACCCCATAATTTTTTGGCTGTTGTGAATTTTCTAGCACATTTTATGTTCTGCAGTTTGCCATTGCTTTTTGAATGGTCGGCTCTTGGTACCACTGTCGAAACCAATGCAAGACAAATTGTCTTCAGCTGGGAACAAACCCAGCACCTCCTGCATTACAAAGCATGTTCGCTAAGCCACAGCAATGAAAATTGCTTTGTTTGTTTTTCCATCCTTTCATTCTTCTCAGAAACCACATCACTGCCACGAGTAAATGTTTTTCAGCTAATTAAGAACTACATAGGACTGAAAGAGTTAATATCACTGAATAATTTGCTTAATTTTCTAGTCAAGGAAGGAAAGTTGGCAAATAAAGGAGCTGGCCAACTCTTGGCCTAGAATATGCCAAAGGCCTAACACTTAACATCTGATCAGAAGTACTGGATTTTCCATGTATAAGACGACCCCATGTATAAGACGACAGAGTCCTATTTTTTTATTTATAAATAAATATTTTAAACATATTCCGTGTATAAGACAACACCTAGTTTTAAACTTAAAAATTGTTAGAAACATATCCTTCTATATGGAAAAATATGTTATCTCCTACATAACTGCTTCATCTCTCATCTGCCCTCTATCGCTCAGTGGAGCATAGGCCCTCAACCAACTCATGCCAGTCTATCCTACCCTTTGCTATCTCATACATCTCACCCCCATATCCTCCGTCTTTTTCAGTTCACTCTCTAGTTCCTTTCTCCATGTGGTTTTGTTTCTCCCTCTTTTTCTATGACCCTGTAGGTTCCAGTGCAAAGACATTCTACATGTCAGTAAGTTATGATAGGGATGTTCTTCTATGATTATTGACAGTGTTTTGTTAACGATGCAGCATGTCTCATCAGTTTTCATACGTAGGAAAAAATAAACTTTTTTTTAAATGGAAATCTTTTTTTATTTATATCAGAACATGTATATAAGACCAGCTGGAGTTATGCTTGTAAGAGCCTTGATGATATATTTATTTTTCCTATGTATGGAAACTTTTGAGACACTCTGTAGTTAAATTTTCATCTAGTTTTCTCAGTGTTTGTCAACACGACTACCATTAGTTTCGTTATTCAGATTTCCTGATTTATTCGGTTGCAGGTGAATTTTGAGTGTGTGGTGTTGAAGAGTGACACACAGAATGAACTCAGTGATTCAGGAATCCATGTTACTGACCTTATGTTAGAAAATGCCTCGTGGGATTATGAGACAAACAGCTTAAAAGATTCAGAGTATGTATTTATTCAATCTGCATGACCTACTTTTAAACTTATCTGGCATTTTGCTCTTGTTTACCATCTTTCATGTAAATGCAGTAATTATTTTTCCATGTAATTATAGATATATTAACTATTTCAATTTGTAAGAAAGCTGGCTCACTTTTGATATAGCTTGTTTACTCTGGAACATATACAGCTTTCTACAATTGACAACACTGGAATGCCGTCGAATTCCAATATACATTGTGCCAGTTTATTTTTTCTGTTCCATCTCAATTACTCAGTCATTACTATTGCTGTTGACTTCCACAACTATGCCACAATGATCATTTACTCAACGTTGACTACACTGCATTCGAACTACATTGACGACATCATGACTGTCTTCTTTCAACTCTGGTAATCAGCTGACCTCAAGTCAATCTCGGGCTTTCCCTTGTTTATCTTTCCAACCCCCAAGTACCTCGTGCAGTCCTTTGTGGCACGGATTTTCTGCTCGACTTGCTGTGAGCATGGAGACCACGCAAAGCTCCTCATCACACAATTCTAAATGCTTTTACAACAGATAAACAAAAAGATAAAGGTGAAAGAAATTACCATTAAAATGCAAAAACATTGATTTCAAAGTCTGCAGATTTTGGAAAGCTGAATAAATGGTACTGTATTTTGTGTACACAATCCTCGACATTTAGTAAATGAGTCAAACAGTGTTTTGAGGCTTCTGAGATATAGTTTTGTTAAAATTGCTTGGATAGTCAAAATGTGTAATCTAAATATTTTGAAAGAGGTTAAGTTGTGAAGGCAGCTTTCTACGAACTTCAGAAAAAGGCAGTTATTGCTTCTTGGCCAGATTCTGAGGATTAAAAAACCTACACATGCTGCAACAGTTCAAACTGAAAGACTTATGGAAGGAGAGAGCGCAAGAGAGAGGGGAAAACAAGATAAATTCCTTGACATCATATTGTCAGGTTACGGCAAGGTGTCAACACAGGAACTGATACAGGCTGTTGGAGATCATAGGATGTGGAGAAGCTTGATCGCCCATGCCTGCCGACAAAGCACATGATGATGATTTATATTTTAGAGAAACTACAATAAACAAGGGAGATGGTTACTTCTTCTTCTTCAGCATTCCAAGCCCTTGCGGTTCACTGCTACAGATATCCCTCTCTCCATTTGTCTCTGTTATTGGCCTTCTCTTTCTGCTTGGTGACTCCAAGTGTTTGTAGGGCTGCTTGTATATTATCTCTCCACCATCTTCTTGGTCTGCCTCGTTGTCTACTCTGATTTAGTTTTTTTTTTACACAGTTTTTCTCTCTCTCTGTTGTCTTCCATTTGTTCAAAATGTTGCAACCATTGCAATCTATTAGCTCTCATGATACCAGTAATTAGTGGTAATTTATGATTTTTCATTGTTGCTTCTCTCTCCTTTCTCCGGTGTTTGTACCTTTGATAAGTGTAAAGATTCATCATAAAACTCTATTCTCAAAGGTTTCTAATAAGGCTTTGTTTTCTGTAGTTTTACTCTGTTTTTAAAGCAAAGTAAGATAACAAGTCTTATCAGTGTTTTATAGATTACAGTCTTAATGTTAACAAGATAAAGTATTTAATGTTAGTAGATTTTGTAGGGAGATAGTCAGTTTATCTAATTAAACTGATTTAGTATTTTTAAGAGGAGCGGTTGGCCAAACGGTTAGAATGCTGGGCTCTCAAGGGGGAGACCCGGGTTCAAATCCTCGATAAGGCTGGGGATTTTTTTTGTCGAGGAAAAAATAAAATCCTCACCTGCACAGTCATGGCAACAGCACCAGCTATGCTGCCATAAATCCTCAGGCTCAAAGACCCCCTTGCATGCACCACAAAAGTGTTATAATAAAGGCAGTTTTTAGCAGTATATTAAAATCTAACTTGAGGTTGTGGTAGATGTTCACCTCTGGTCCGATGGTCACTGATTTGAACCCACATCACATCTAATTTAAAAAAAAATGATCTTGACCTCCTGATTGATCTAGCCTAAAATGGGTATGAGTTAACGCCCAGTAAAATAAAAGTGGCCGCCGTGATGCTGACGACATCACCGGATTGAATGTTGATTGGTCTATAGCAATATGAGTCTAACATCCTTATGCCTGGTGAGAAAAGGGTCCTTTGCTTTGATTTACTTTGAAATTGAAATTGAACATCCATTACTTACTTTAGAAATTTAACAGCCATATAGTAACTGCTGCTACACAATTTGTGTGCCTATATTTCAGAGATGCCGGTTACACTTGTCTGAGAGACATTTACCTCAAGCCTGTAATTAAAACTGGTTCAGGAATTTTCTCTGGTGATCAGGATACACTGAAGCCATGGGGTCTGGGATATGCTGGGGATAGTAGTCAGATGTTACCAGGAGTCTGTGATCTGCCTGTGTTTATGAACAAGGTTAGTTGAGTTCGACACATCAGCAACAGCAACAACAACAAAATTTTTCTGACTTTCCTTATTTAGTACCAAGCAACTAATAAAGTGTTCAGGGAAACAGACTTCCCCCCCCCCCACCCCACCCCCCCCCCAATTTTTTTTTTGTTGAGTTTTTAGGCTTTGGAGCGGGGATGATTATTAAAAATATTATAATTAAAAACAATAACAAAAATCAAAATAATAATGTATGGAATATAAAATAAATGCAATATATTAAAAATAATATGTGTAACCAAAAAAAAACTGAAAAAGAGAACTTCTATGCATGGTTTTTTTTTGGGGGGGGGGGGGGTGCTCTATAGTCTAAAGCCTCCCCCCCCCCCATCCCCTAAGGGTTCCAGTGCCCTTGCTTACTCTCAGTCACTAGTCCAAGTAAAATTTACTATTTCATCTTTTGTTTTCTATCACAGACAATTATTAAAGACACACAGAAACAAAGTTAGCTACATGTCTTTACAGAACTTTGCAGAACCAACCCATGCAATTTTTGGCTATTTGCAAATTCTCTCGGCAATTTTACGTTCAGTGATTTGCCATTGCTTTGAACTGTCGGCTCTCATTACCACTGTTAAAACGAATGCAATGCAGTCTGCTGCCAAATTGCCCGCAGCTGGGATTTAACCCAACACCTTGGAATTATGAAGCATGTTTGCAACATCGAAGCCACAGACACCATCACAGTTTTTATACACTGTGTATTCACTAATTCTATCCAAATGGTACATTTACTACCACAGCTCACTGTGTGATTTTAATTTTTTATAAAATTTCAGAGCAGACAAGTTCAAGTTTGGTCCTTTCCAGTGAAGTGTCCCCAGCCTGAGAAATGGATCTTAGCACATGCAGCTTTCATCCTTGACTCAGGTTTGATTACTAATTTTAGAAAAACATTTTATATATTTGGAGTCACCGTGACATAGCGACTAGACGCTCTCATGCAGATCGGAAGGTTGTGGGTTCGCTCCCTGGCGGAGCAGGATTTAAAAAAAAAAAAAGACCTTGACTCCCTGGTTGACCCAGCCTTGAGTGGGTACCGGGTGCAGTCCTGGGAAGTAAAGGTGGCTGGTGTGATGCTGACCACATCACCCATCTTGGGCTGATTGGTCTATAAAAATCTAGGTCTAACCCTATATGCCTAATGGCGTGGAAAAGGGTCCTTTACTTTACTATTGTGATATATTGCTGGATAAAAAAATACTTCTTCTTCTTCTTTTTAGTGTGCACCAGCTGTAAACTCTGGCAGAAAGTTCTGGATGTTCATCCAGTCCTGGTCTTGATCCAGAACTTGTGTGGGTTGTGTGTGCACACCAGTTTTACACACCCGACTTATTATGTGTGCAGACTGTTGATTCCTTATCTCTCAGGCAGATGCACTCTGACTTCAAAGGAAACATCCATAATTAGTCTACTCGTATGACATGCATGTGGGGGGCAGTGGGTCTATTCTTTTGTTCCAAGAATGGGGGCCTGGGGTCCCACATGAGGAGTATAAGCATTCAGACTACAACTATCATTTTCATCATCAGTTTCCATTTTACTCTTAAGCAGTGAGGGAGGAACTTTTGTGATCCGTTGCTTGTTTAGTGGCAATGACTATTGTCTTTCTGTGCTGTTGTAGAAGGTCTTTAATGTCATCTTCTTGCTTTCTCATCAGATCTTTTTATGTTTAGCGCTTTTGTTAGTAGTTGTTGTAACTGCATTCTAACAAAGTGACCAAACCATTTGATATTCTGGTTCTCAGTGAATTTGGTGCTTGGTGTTGTTTCCACAGTTTGTCTGATAGTATCATTTCTCACTTTATCTCAGATGGTAAAGTTGACTGATTTCCTCAGGCATCTCATTTCATAGGTGCTAATTCTTATGTCAACATCTAGCATGAGAATGGAGGTGGAGGGGGTAACTGCAGCTCTCCGGTGGCTAGAGAACAAGATGCATACACATGTCGTAATTGTAACTGACTCTGAAAGCATGCTGAGAAAGGTGAAGACAGGGATGCTTCGAGCAGAGTGGCAAACTTCACTGGGAAAGGTAACTGGTAGTGAGCATACTTTGGGTCTTTTCTCCAGGCCATGCCGGCGTAGTGGGTAATGAACAGACAGACAAATTATATGGATGCATACCACTTGGTGGGGAATTGGTGTATGACAAGGCAGATGTAGTCAAGGCCCTTTGGGAACAAGCAACGGAATCAGTAGAGAAAGAAGATTATTATGCCCTGGAGAGAATGAGGCACCTGGGTGCAAGACAGACAAATAACCAGATTGTGACTGGTACCATCAGAATTGGAACTCTTCGCTGGCTGCTGAAGATGAGGACGGAGCACACATGGGAATGTCCTGAGTGCTGTGATGTTAATTCTTGACTCAACTCAACTAATTCTTATGTAGGTTTGATCATGTCCAAGCTCTGCACTGGTAGCACAGTATTGGTGTGAATATGATGTTTATAACCTGTTTCTTGGCAGTCAGATTTATATTTTAACGTCTTAGTAATGCATCATTTGGTAAATGAATGCACTGGTATGCTGGCATCTCCTTTCTATTTCCCGATCTACTCTCCACCAAGAAAATACTTCATAGATATTTCAATTCTCAAACTTTCTTCGGACAAGTACCATTCAGCCCTGTCTGTAGCGGACTGGAATTTTTACTGACCAGCATTACTTCGCTTTTAGTCCTATTTACTTTACTATTTTATATCTTCAAAGTTGATGATGACGGCATAAAATTACAGGATTTTACATCACACGTGAAAGTCACATTATAAGAGTGGCTAGTATTTTTGCCCACCAGCCTGCAGGTCGTGTTATGAATTTCAAGTAACGAAGATTTTTATTAAATAAAAATAGGTACCAGGAAATATTGTGGGGGAAACAAATTTTGCTGGCATTCTATTGACCACATCTAGAGCTGACAATGGAAATTATGGGTGTAACAAGGGCTTTAGCAAGGCTTGGTACTCAAAAGTTTACACACATATGGATTCTTAGTGACTCGATGAACATGCTTTAAAAAATCTAAGCTGGATTTATCAGGCAAGAATGGTTTGCAACACTAAGCACTTCACAAATAGCTTCCCTAACCTTCATCTTTGTGCCAGGTCATGCGGGTGTTCAAGGAAACAAGCGTGCAGACTATCTTGCTGACACTGCGGTTGCTATGGCTGGTCCAGTACTGGACAGAAATGATGTTACCAATACCATACGCTGCACTTACTGTACCAAAGAGCATGTCAAAGGACATGACACCGTATCCCTGTCTAGACACTACTATCTAGAAAGATGGAAAGGTGCCAATCATCAAGTGGTGCCTTCAGTATGACTACTAGCAGCAGGACAATGGAGGTGATGGCGGTAACACGATCTTTTATGTGGGTAACATCGCAGAGCTATTCTCATATGTGTGTGCTGAGTGATTCCATGAGTATGAACCGGCGGGTCGGGGCAGGCTATGTACGCAGACAGTGGATCGACTCATTGCAAAACTCCATTTTGCGTAGAGTTACCTTCATCTTTGCCCCAGGGTATGTGGGTGTTGCTGGCAATGAAAGAGCCGAAAGATTAGCTGGCTTTGCTTTAGTTACAGAGGGCTGACCCATGGATCATGCTGATATTGTTAAAGCCATTAGAGAGTTAGAATGTTTGGAGGATTTTGGGAGCAGCACATTCACATCTTTGCTAAGAGTGCAAGAATTGGGAGTTAAGATCGGCACAGCCAGGCACAAGAAGCACACCAGATGCACAAGAAGCACACTGGACACACAAGAGGTCCTCTCAACCAACATAGGACTGGGACCATCAACCACGGATTGCTGATGTATATGTTGAAGGCGGAATCTGAGCACCTATGGACATGTCCAAAGTTCCGTGAGGATAACACATAACTCGTGACTTATTTTAGGTACCCAGGTTGTGCTCCTGAGCACACTGGTCTGCTTGAAATGAGTAGTTTACTTGCTGATCATTTTGAAGTTTGTTATCACCCACTGTGGCTTATGTCTTTTGAATCTTTTAAGATTTGTTATCTTTGAACAATTTTTTAGAATTTGATAACACATGGAGATGTTTTTTTTTCCTATAAAAAATGTAATTCATCGCATGAATCAATAATTGTCATTTAGATCTGCCAGACTGGACATGTTTTCTCTACATAATTTTCAACCCATTTCATATTTACTTTTAGATCAGCCATACAAAGAGTGCAAGAAGTCAAAGAATCACCAGCTGCGGCAAAGATTACATCCTTCTGTGAATTCAAATCAAGAAGAGGAAAAAGCAGAAGATGAAGAAGAGAGCAGAGAAGAGGATGATAGTAGTGAGGCAAATATAGATTACAGTGAAGAAGAATCAAGCAGGTCGTCTCACTTGTCACAAAACATAATGTTCCCTCAGCGGTCACCACTGCCTGAAGAATTTAGATTACACAGAGAAATGCCCATACAGAGTAAGCAAAATGAAGAAGAGGTTAAATGAATTGCCAGAAACAAAAATGAAGATGGGTATACAACAAAACAAAAAAAGATGAAGCCTTATTAAACATTTCTTGAGGTTTAACATTAAAGTTTTGTATCCATGAAAGATCAGAATAGTGGAGAATGAGAAGTTAACAATGAAATTCATAGTCTGTTTAAATCATCATTAATTACCAGTGTCAGGAGGGCTAATAAATTGCAGTGGTGAGTCATATAAGAGTGAATGGCAGGTCCACAAAAGAAATGACTGGGAGTAGACAGAGAAGCAAATCAAGAAAATAGCAGAGAGATAACACATAAAAATACTTGAAATCAACAACTACAAAGAGAAGGCCAGTCACAGAAATAAATAGGGCACTGTGATATCTGGGGAACTGAACCTCAACAGCTACAAAAAAGGCTTAAAAAGAAAGAAGGATGGACAGTGTATATATGTCTCTCAATAGGTTTTTTTACTTTGTTTGACATTGTGCTTACAATATCTGATTTATTGTTACTGAATGTATGTCCTTTGTAAAGTTGTGAAACTACAATTGAGTTGATCACCCTCACTAGAGGCATAGATAGCTTTAGCTTTTAAAGTAAATACATTCATGGATTGCATTGTCTTTTCCTTGTGCCTGCTATATATGTATTTTAATTCTTGCATTTCCCCCACACAAATCTCTGAAGCTTTCTTTGTGTGTGTGTGTGTGCGCATGCATGCAAGCATGATTTTGTTGTTGAAAAAGGCTCTTTACTTATTACATTTTTCTGTATACATAACACGTTTCATGGCATGGAGAAAAGTTATTTATCATACATAGACCCTGTCATATATAAACAAATTTGTAAACAAAAATAAACCTAAACATGCATAAAAGAACTAATCACAATTATCCCTGTCATATACAAATTCATCATCATCATATAGCAGGTTTATCGCTGACTATCATACATCATGGCACACTGGTAAGGGGATTGGTTAAATGAAAATCTTTGTAAATCATAAACTTTCACACCAATGGTGTCCGTGATATTGTGTGTCCTCTGTTGTGCTGGTTGTCCTCTGCCTCTTCTTTTAGGAACCATGTCCTTCATATACAAATTAGCGTATACAAATAAACTGTTTTTATATACAGACATGACTTTTTTGTATACAAACATGACCACGGACAGATAAAAAGAGCAATGAAGATATTTTGAAAAAATTCAACGGACAAAGAAAAACTGAATACGTAGATCAGAAGGAGACAATCTTCATTCTTTGGTCATGTCGTGAAAATGAGAAAAACTGAAAAATATAGTGACAATGGAAAAGTTTGATTGGAAAAGAGTGAGACTGAGAGAGGAGATGCTGGGCAGTTTGACATTATGGCATGGAAGATCATCTGTGTCAGAAATGATTGAAAGTACATAAGACAGGTGTTAATAGACATGACTTCAACGTCACACGGCAGGAACTATGGAAATCATCTGTGTCAAAAATGATTGAAAGTACTGAATACTGTGGGTAGACATGACTACCAACACCACATGACATGGACTATAAGAAAAAGAAATAAACCCTTATCATACTTAAAATATTTTATAAAGCATATCATATATTGACCTATTCTGCATATAGCGTTTGAGTGAAAGTTTTTTTTTTTAACACTAGTGCTGAAAACAAAACAAAAAAAAGTTGTGATAAGAAGAAATCATTAATAATTTATATAATAGTAATATATCAGATAATAAATGTCTTCATGAATGTTATTACCTAATAATACTAATTAAAGAAATTCTTGATTAAATGCCCATGTTTAGGTAGATGTACTGTAAATATATGTTCTAATTAGTAATGAAAATAATTCATTTTATTGTCTGTTTTGTGCATGTGTTTGGTTCTATGTTTCCTTTTATATTTACTGTGATAAATATTTGTAATATTTTTATTGCCACTAAAATGATGTGTTGTCAACTATGTTGCCAGTGAACATAATTTAATCCATAGATGTGTGTCTGTGTGCAGTGAAAATTTATATACAAATGCTATTCTTATATTTATAATTTTTTTATCATTTGTTAAAAATGTATTTATCAACATTTTTATATTTTTATTTCTGAATTATATAAAGATATATGAAGGGAATAATCAGTAAAGATGAACAGGTTGAAGCAGTAAATAGAACACAATCCACAAGGCCTAAAAAACAATACATATCGGGTGACCCATACCATGACCCTGTGACCTGTATCATTAATGGAACGGAAAAATATGATATCAGCTATGCTTTAGGAAAGCTATTTGGCTCAAAGGACAAACCCCCCCCCCCCCCTCACCCCTCAATGTTATTTTTATTTAAGGCAGTCATATCCTAAACTCCTAAATAATTGTGCAGGCGTGAAAACAGCCAATAGAATTAACTAGGCGTGTCGTAAATAGGTCAGAAAACTCTGAAAAGTGACATTTATGGGAAACTGAACCCAACTGGAAGTGTCGGTTTTGTGGCTTCATGGGGGAAAAAGGTTCAGTCTTCAGGTTCATGATCCCTTTTTTGGGCACCGCCTTAAAGTGATAAATATAGGCAGTAAAGTCAGTTTACCATTGCTTTCGAAAAAGTACAACACTCCTGCTTTTGTCAAATTTAATACAAAGCAGTGCTACTATATCACCTGCAACTGATGTTGAACCCTATTATGTCAGGACTGTTGCACTGTATTCACAACCATCAAACATTCTAATAAACTATCATGTATTAACCTGTAACTACTTATGAGATTTCTTCTTCGCATTCACCAGCTGTAAACTGCAGCCAACTGTTCTGCTCTTAGGAATTCCAGACAAATTTGACTAAAAAGCTCAACAAAATGGGGAAGCAGAAAAACGGGCACAAAACAACACAACGTAACGTTTCGACCGGGCGGCCTTTTTCAAACATAACTGAACTACACAAATGTAACAACGAGGAGATGAGAATATGTAGATCACTAAGGGGTGACGTGAGCAACGTTTAAAAAAATGTGGTGTGTAATAAATGAATTAAAATAAAACAAACGATTGCTAAAAAATATAGTCACAAAAAATAATAAACAGTAGTATTGTTAATATGTAATATAACACTGGGTTTTTATAACACTTTTTAGTCAAATATCTCTGGAATTCCTTGTATTAGCTTGACTGCAGTCACCCCCATATTTTCACCAGTTCTGGTCTTAGTCTTGCTTTGAGAGAACCTTTGTTTTACAGATCTAGCTTCTTTGTATGCAGGCTGTTGGTTAGGGGCAGTGGATGTGTTATTGTGTCCCTACAATGAGGCCCTGAAACGCCACATTGGGATTTTGTGAGACATGACTATATACTGTTTTGGATTTTGCTAATTAAGTGTCACTAAAAAATGACAGACTGATGCATTTATCTGATGGTAATTCAATTTGTATGTCTCATTGTTTTTGTTTTTTTATTTAATCAAACTATGTCTAAACTTGATACTTTTTCTATGCCATTTTATTTTTGTGTGCCATTTCAAGTTTTTTAAACTTGAATGTTGGGGGAGGGGCAAGGGTTTGAAGAGAGGCAAAGGTGATTAACTCTTTGAGTCCCAGGGGGTTTATCATCAGAGGCCCAAGGGGTAGTCAAGAGAGACGTTAAGTCGGCGCATTGGGCTTCTAGGTAGGAAACTATGAACGTATGATGCATTTCTTGGTACTCAAAGAGTTAAGAGATAAGAAGCAGTGGCATCATATTATTGAGAATCTGTCAGAAATTATAGACAGTACACAAGACAAAAGATGGGTGCCGACATGACTACTGGCAGCACATTGTGCGGACTATTTTTAAAAAAAGTCTACATTTTATTCATGATTCATCATCATACCTCAGAATGTTTGTTTGTTACACACTGCTTTTCATTTAAGAAAAAGGTGCCTAAGCATGTCAAACATTCCCCTGTGTGGGTTCCGGGGCCCTGTTATAAGGAAAACAAGAATAGACCCACTGCCTACCCAAAAGCATGTCGTAAGAGTCGACTAATTGAGAGCTTCTTTTGAGAGGCAAGGAACCAACAGTCTGCATACAAATTAGTCTGATCTGTCAAACAGACACATATGCAACACTCAGGTTCTGGAATAAGAAGACTGCAGTCCAGAAGTGGACGAACAACCAGAACTTTCCACTGGAGTTTACAGCCAGGGAATGCAAAGAAGAAGAAGAAGATGTCAAACATTATTTTACCTGTATCATCCTTACTAACGTCAGACATCAGGTTACACAAGTCTGATATAGCCGTTGCAGGTTTCTTAAGTGTGTGCTCAGGTGCTTGGCACTGGAGCCAGCAGTGTTAAGGTTGACTAGCTTCTCTACGGAGAGGTGAAAATTGAAATTTAAGTAGCCTGCCAATGACCCGTAGAGCACCCAGGTCAACTCCGCCTCCTGGTGGTGCATGCCGGAAAACTGAAGCCTTAAGGTTTCAGACTAACGAAGCCATGGCTTACCTGGAAGAAGACGGGAACCAAACAGGTCAGATTTTTCCAGCCACACGATGAGCCTAGCAAGCCAGCAATGGTGTAACTAATTGTTTCTACACAAGAAGTACTGAAAAATGAATAGGGCTCTAGAACAGAAAACAACTACATGTGAAATGCACTGTCTCTGCAAGGTCACTATCAACATATGAGGAGACCGGGTAACAAATAGGAGCATCAGAGAGAAAGTTGGAATAAGACCATGTCTAGAATATATTCTTCTTCTTCTTCGCGTTCACCAGCTGTAAACTCTGGCGGAAGGTTCTGGTTGCTCGTCCACTACTGAACTGCAGTCCTGCTCCAGAACCTGAGTGTTGTGTGTGCATCAGTTTTACAGATCTCATTCTCTTGAATACAGACTGTTGGTTCCTTGCCTCTCCGGCAGATGCACTCCGACTTCAAAGGAAGCTCCCCAATTAGTCGACTCTTACGACATGCTTTTGGGGAGGCAGTGGGTCTATTCTTGTTTTCCCCACAATGGGGCCCCGGAACCCACACGGGGGTAGAATATATTGA